AGGACACACCTACCAATATGAACAGATGGTTATTGTGATGCTACACTGAATGATCATTAAAGAATAGACTAAGTGATAAAATTGCACAATTGGGCAATCCCTTTCGTTGAATAGATGTACAAAATCCTAGGCTCTAGAAAGTTATCTATTGCGCCATGCCTCAGAATTGTGAAATGCCTTAGAAAAATATAACTTGTAAATTGAGAACCATTGTCTCACCTGTACAAACTCACTGTGTCTTCAGGTCATCTGATTTGCTGGTCTGGACTGGAGAGAAGTTGCCGGTCTCCAGGTTTCTCAGAACACGAACATCTGGTCTTGTCGGGTTTAGAGTCATCACTGCAGTCAACTGCATCAGTCAGCAGTCACCTAGCTACATAGACATTACAAAGTTACATGCCTGTCTCCAATAACAAGAAAACTAATACTGGTAAAATTTACAATTTAGATTTCAAGTTCTCACCTGATATTCCTCTCGGGTCTTCAAGTCATCTGGTCTGGTCCAATCTTCTCTTGTCAGGTTCAGACAGGAGTCCCCACTACTGCATCAGTCAGCAGCCACCTAACTATACAGACATTACAAGTTACACACTTGTCTCAAATAATGCCAAATAGTTGCAGGTAAAATGCAGAAATCAGATTTTTCTCACCTGCCCCAATACTCCGATGTGTATCCGATCACCTGGTGCCTCTGTCATCACAAGTCTCATCCCATCAGTACTGAACACCTGCACAGGTTGCTGACCCTCAGAGCACAGATCACTACAGGATTCTATGAAAAGAATAAATAGTATCAGCTTAGGCTACAAGGTGTAAAATAAAAAAAACTTCTCATTTTACCAGCTTGAAGAATTAAATCTAGATCATCGTGACAACCACGAATAAAAATATGACAATGAACACAACTTTACAAGCAAGAGTTTGACATAAAACACATGGGCCTACTTCTATACACAGTCTGTTTAGGAGAGATACAAGAGAAATTGTGAGGTAAAAAAGTTCCTATACTGTGGATATGAAATCTGAAACTACACTTTTGGAGTAGGGGAGTGCCTACAGAGAAAATGGGACAGCAAGAAAACAAGAACCATAACTAAATCACAAACATGCATTTGACAGACAATATAAGGATTTATCTATTATAGTTTGTTTTATTCTTCTACCGCTACAGTTTATGTTTTTTCACTGATGTTTACTGTGTCTCTTAAAGCTAGCAATGTACACACACACACCTTAAAATTCCTGACTTTAAAACAAACAAACACCTCGACAAAAACTGTACATAATGACCATAAAAAACGGGGATACCAACAAAAATGAAATAAATCAAACCCCTTCAACTGAAACTTAAAGTGGAATACATATAAAGGCGCAAAATGTTGTGAAAACTGCATATTCAACTGTAGTATTTGCGCCGGGGCCTTGGTTAATACAATTACAGAAATAGTCGAAAATTGAAACGAATAAGCATTTAAATCATAGATCATACATTCATTTGCAAATGATAATGAAGAAAGAAAGTACATCAACTGGACTTAAGTTTCCAAACGTTTTATATCGTATTCATTTCGGCACATTGAAGCTTTGAAGACCCCATCTTGTTTACGCGAGTTTTTGGCGGGATCATCAAAATATTTAATTATGTAACACGGGCACATTCCAACAGGTGCTTTGAACCACGTGGAGATAAAGAAAAAGGTTTTGTCAATGCACAGTTTCTTTCAACAAATATAACCTCAAAACGCTGAACAATTGACCAAAAAAGACAAGCACATACATAATTTTAATACTCTACAAGCGCACCGCACATTGAAAATGTTGTTGAAAACGCGGCAACTTGATAGACTTTTTCAAAGCCTGTCTAAAATTAGGAACGGTCGCTCTCGAATACAGAACTAGGCCATTTATTACGGAATATAACACTGTAAACTTGTCATGTTCGTACTATTATTGCTAAGGAATAATGTCAGCCAAAAAATTTGCTGGTTTACCTGCAAAAATACGAAGTTCGTCTCCATGCCACGCTACTCTTCCCAACTGCCTCGCCATTTTGTTGGGATCTTCTCCGAAATTCTCCAGGTCAGGAAATCCGCATTTTCTCTTCAAAACATCACCAGAACGGCACAAATACACGGCTGAAACTTCCCAACGTTCTGCTGCACACTTAGCAAAATCATTTTACCGACGAAAACTCTAAAAACTACCCAAAAATTTGTAAAGAAAATCAGCCAAGAATATTCCTGTCGTGTGAAACCGCCATTTTGGATGGACCATGCCACTTTCATACAGGTGTGCAAAGCAGCCCTGTCTAATTAATGTGAAGCTTGTAATCTAATTATGACAACCAATGACGGCCTGTCTCGGTGATAGGCACTTATAATTATGTGGCGAAGAAGGTGAAATTAATAGATAATCTATATAATAACGAAGACTAATAATCTCATATAAGAGTTTAAAAAAAGGATGAAAATGCATCTACCGCCGGGTACTTGAGTGGTATCGTCGAATAAACGTTTTCATGAATACTTGTTATGTGACCACAGTACGAAACATAACACTCTTGTCCAGTTTTCCTATACTGTGAAGTCGTTTAAGTGTTTTTGATATTCATAATTACATCATACAATGTATCCAGAGCGTTACAAAGAGTTCTTAGCCCATGTACACTGCATATTAGGCCAAGACGCGGTCGGTTGAGGTGTTTAGGCATACCCATAGTAGGCATACCGGGTCCTGTCCTTGGTGCTGAACATGCCTTCCACACACAGGAAAACCGATCTACAGTGTTTAGGGTAGGAAAACTAAGCTTTCTGATTTTCTCAATTATCAAAACAGTTACTCTGAGTCATTTCCAAAATAGTAAAGAAGTGTTTTATCTTTTTTTAAAAATCCTTATAGCAAATTTTTAAAAAAATATATAAATACAAAGAAAGTGAAGCTACGAAATCGAGGAACAATAGTTCTTAGTTATAAATGACAGAATGCGTGCATGATCTTCAAAATGACTTTATTTGGACATCTGCAAATTGATAAATTTCTCATGGGAGCCAATTTTGAAATAGGGAAAGTTAAGTTAGCTGTGTTTTAGTTATACAATGGAAAGTTAACACATATTCCCAGTATAGAGATTACCATAAAAAACAAAAATAAAATCACTACCAATATTTTAAGATTTACAGTGATTAAATCATACATCAATGAAGGTTAAACATTGAGGGAAATGGGATACAAAAGAAAATGGTTACTCAAGAAACTGGATAGATTTTGAAATCAAAATATTGAGTTTTTTCTTCTCTAAATCATCCTTTTGCACAATATTCACCTTTTCACATTTACCCAACTTGTAGATACATTGTACTGGTAATAGAGATTAAAAAAAACTTATGCTTACCAAAAGAAGTAACATCCTACCTCTAAATGTGCTATTAGCACAGCTATTTCCTGAATTATTCTGTATTTAGGGTATATAATTTTCTTTTTACACAACCAGTGAGGTTTTCACCTGCTTGCGTTTTGATGTCTATCAGACACCTTCCTCAGAGCTTCTGACTGGAGTTCTGCAAGAAGCAGTCTGGATAAGGAAGTCAACCCCAGTGATGAACCGGGACGAGGGGGGATACAAGCTCAGCCACGTTTGAAATTGCATTCTCGCCACAAAAGCGCCACCTACTTTGGCGTTAAATAGCGGCGAGTTGCAGAACTCCAGTCAGAAGCTCTGAGGAAGGTGTCTGATAGACATCGAAACATAAGCAGGTGGGAACCTTACTGGTTGTGTAAAAAGAAAATTCTATACCCTAAGTATCTTCCAACCTGATGAAATTATTTACGATAATTCTGTATTGTACACACTTGTACATCTTTGTTGGCCTTATCCAAAATTCTGCATTATCACTTACCCAGTTTCTTTAAACATGAAATATACAACATTAGCATAAGTTACCTAGCACTTATGCATATATAACATCAACACTTGTGGCTTCATGATTCTTACAATTTAGTGTTTACAACTTGTTAAAAGTAATTGAGTTCACATAAAAAACAATAGCAAAAAAAAGAAACTACAGATATAGATACACTATGGTTGTGTGTATAAAAAAATGAGAATTTCATCAAATAATCATAATTACAAACAAATTGGGCTATACACAGTCAAATGAGTTTTTTTCCACAATTTTTTTCCTCCGCATAAATACTGGATATCTTACAAAACAACTGTTACAGCACTACATTATTCCTGGATAGTACCTGAATGTATATATGATAGCTTGACTTTGTATATATTAAGAAAAAAATATACATCTAGCCCAACCAAGGAGACTTAACAGTAAGAAATCCATAGAAATACCATAAAACATTCTACTAGTAGAGGTAAGTATTCACTGAACTGTTTTGGTTACAATAGTACTGATGTACAAGAAAAATGTTACTCAAGCAACTGGATAGATTGTGAAAACTGTCAGACGTTTCAAGTAGCATCCACTACTTTTCGTCAGTGACTGACATCCATATACTGAGGGTTACACACAACTATTTTCCAACAACCCTATATTTCAACAATTCTAATGACAATGTTTGACAATACATGTATAGGCCTGGGGTGTCAGAACATAGGGTGTTCCCATAAAGTTATGCAACCATAACCATGATTACAATAGTCTTAACATCCTCTTGATTTCCATGAAGCTACGAGAATTTACAATTCAAACTACGTCAAGAATTATCTGTACATATTCATGACTTCAAATTCAAATATTGTGACTAGCCAATGAATGAGAAGGTTGTTCTTTGAACTGACCAATGAGAAGTGGTGATTTGTAACATGTGACCAATCAATGGCCAATAGAATTCAAAGTTTAGTTGACCAATCAGGAAAAACACTTTTGCTATAAATAGATCAACTGACAATATCAAGCACAGTCACATGACTTATACATTGACCAATCATATTATTTCCCTGTAAGCCAATGAAATACAGCCATAGTCATCATTTGCTATTCTGACCAATCTAGCTTATTTACAAAATGAAGTACTGGCCACTCAGATACAAGTTCTGTCTATGAATCAGTTATTAGAATACTGGCAAATCAGGTACAAGACTTTGCAATCAAGTTGTCAATGAAACACTGTCACATGACTTAGTATTGGCCAATCAGATTTGAGTTTTGAGTCACATGACTACAGTTGTTGGTACAAGTTATTCAGAGCCTAAACCTACATTTGGCAACCAATGAAATGGTGTCTAAGTACTGGCCAATCAGTTCTGAGTCATTGTTACATGATTAGATAGTAGCCAATCAGAACTTGAAACTATTTCTGTCAACCAATACAACACAGTCTAAGCACTGGCCAATCAGATTTGAGTTTTGAGTCACATGATTAGGTACTAGCCAATCAGAAGCAGAGAAACAATTTTTGGCAAAAAATGAAACACAAATGAAAGACAACCATGTCATTGACCAAATACTGGCCAATCAGATTTCAGTATTATGGAGCCTGATGATGAGTATCCAATCAGAGCCCGAGGCTATTTTTGTCAACCAATGAAACAGTCACATGGCTCAGTATTAGCCAATGAAACACAAGTATTGCTAGTTGAAGAGAGCATCCTGAAACTTGATGATGAGTTTGTGTCCACGATTCGAGCTAAAAACTGGCCAATAAGATTTGAGTTATGAGTCACATGATACTAGCCAATCACAGCCTGAAGCTATAGTCACATGACAAAGTACTAGCCAATGAAACACAAGTATTGCTAGTTGAAGAGAGCATCCTGAAACTTGATCATGAGTTCGACTGCCCTCCTCTGGAACTTCAGGTCGGTCAGTCCGGCGAGCGAGTTTGTGTCAGCTAAGAACTGGCCAATCAGATTTAACTTTCGAGTCACATGATTAGGTACTAGCCAATCAGAAGCAGAAACAATTTTTGGCAACCAATGAAACACAGTCACATGGCTCAGTACTGGCCAATGAAACACAAGTATTGCTAGTTGAAGAGAGCGTCCTGAAATTTGATCATGAGTTCCACAGCCCTCCTCTGGAACTTCAGGTCGGTGAGTCCGGCGAGCGAGTTCGTGTCTGCGAGTCGCATCAGCGTCGGTCCCCAGACCATCCCGAGGTTCTCTGCTGTCATCAGATTAAACTTGTCGCATTTAGCAACTCTGAGGAGACAAAGTAAAACATTTAGATACTAGAAAGGTATGTCATTCAGGTATACAGTGACCAGTCTCTCCAACCCTGTTTTAGATTTCAAACACCCCATCAAGAGAATCATGAATTAGAAAATAAATGCCAGAAGAAATTATTTTAAATAATACATTTTGTTGCCAGCATTTGAGTCTGTTTTGAGTTTGTGGCAGAGTTTTAATATCTAAAGGTCCTTTGTTAAGGTTACAACACTACAAAGTTGTAAAGGTTGTCCATCCAGGATACATTGTGTAAAAAAAACAACAACAATGTTCCCCTTTGGCTATCTTAGAATAGTCAATTCTCACATTAAGTTCAAAACCTCACCAACCCCCCACTTGGTCCCTTTGCTCCCTTCTGAGTACTACCATGATGATAAAACAAAATAAGATGTTGAGCCATAAGGAAGCTGAGAGTTTGAAAGTATACTACCTGATAATGTTAAAACAAAATCCTAGCTAGATCCAAGTATCATACTGTTCTTGGATATGATATAATACAATATACGCAAGTAATAAAATATGTTAGCCTTACTTGTGTAGATGAGCCATGAGGAAGCTGAGAGTTTGGAAGTGAGCTGGCGGCAGATCGTCTAACGTCTCGTGGATCTTTCTCAGACAGTCCTTATCATCAGGAATCTCTGCAGATAACACAACAAGGGAGACTATGAGGGCACTGGTTGTCATGTAGGAACAACAATTCATAAGGTTTGTAACATTGAACCTAATTGATATAAAATCTCTGTAAAGAAGAAAACACAACAATAGAAACTATGAGGATACTGGTTGTCATGTATAGGGTAAAACTTTGTAGCACTGAATCAACACAAGGTTTTACTAGAAAACATATAATGTCAACATTCCACTAAAGATTTTAAGCAAACATCTACTAGCACTTTTCTGCCAAGTTATATATACCAGTCACCCCCAAAATGCATTCTCTAATATTCATAATAATATTCAATACAAGATTGACCAGCAAAACCATGACACCCAACCTCTACCGGGTACACACTTGGCTCTCCAACCCATATGCTGGCTCTCTATTACCAGTTCTGCATACTGTGTACCAGCTAGTGTCGGTCAGTAATAACAGAGCCCACTGTGAACAACAATGCCACATGGAAACATGAGAGGTTGACACTTGTCCTCAGCTTTGTGTTTACTACGTCAAACAAAACATATCAGGTGTGACCCAACAGAAAGACCTGGAGATAAACAGGGAAAGTCCCCCTTTAGAATACGAGGGAAAACCCAGAACTTTCGCCCACACATTGTGGAACAGAAGCAATTTTTCCCTACATGTACTGAAGAAAACTCAAAGCTTCAACTTCTAAAGACTGGGAAACTCTCTACCCAGGCAAGTCTCAGACACCCAGGTGAGATTTAGACACTTTTGTCAACAGAAGAAACGCTGGAAAATGTCTACTGTCAGCATGGCCAGCTTGGCAAACAGACTGCAGAAACTGTGCATAAACAGTCCGTACAGCAAAGAAGTCAGTTATGGTCAGGCACTGAAGGAAGCTATTGCTAGTGAGGATTGTTCCATGGAGGTAGAAGTCCTGAAAAGTCTTGGAGACCTGCGTCTTGAGAAAGCCAAGCTCAGCAAAGATTCAGCAGAGTTTGACAAGGCTGCTGCCCTGTATGCTGCTGCCTTACTGCGCTGCAAAGATCCAGATGTGGGAGAAACAATGGAACATCGTATCCGCTACATGGAGAAACTCTCCAGACAACTGCTGCAGGGGTACAGTCCACACTTCCGGTCGCTGTCACCAGACTACTGGGGTACTGCTGACAGTAATGTCTTAAGGGTGGCAGAGATTTGTGACAAACTGGACAGAAGAGTCGGTAAGCCCTTGCACTCTGTAGAGGAAACTTACACAGAAACATTAGTGACTGCGATTGGGAACAGCGACATGTTCTTGGAGGTTGAAGTTCTCAAATCACTTGGAGATTTCTACCTTGGGAAAGGCAAGACAACCTCTGATGTATCCCAGTTCTCCAAGGCAGCTGCCATGTACAACAAGGCCCTGACAACATGTGGGGATCCGGGGACAAAATTGACCCTGGAACATCGTAAAAAAAAACTATCTTGTACTTGGTTAGATGTCTCTTGAACAAGATCAAGAAAGCAGTGATAAAGGTAATATACGTATGACAAAATCTGCTGAGAAAAATTTGCTGAGAAAATCTGCTTGTCTGAGAAAAGAAATTGGGTACAACCATGTTGCTTTGAAACATTTATGGAAGTATAGACGTAAATGAAGAAAATTACATTTTGTTGTCATTATTTGTTCTTCTAAGATCTAAATACTAAAAAACTAATAAAAAAGTCTAGGAAATGACACTGACAGGTTAGATGTTTGCATGTGTATAGATTTGGTTTATGGTCACTATAAGTTCTACAATGCCAGTTCACAAACAAAAACTGATAAAAACAAATTCTTATATAATAACTTACACATGATACCACTACGTCAACATGATACAACTAGACTTATACATGATACAACTACATCAATTAATTCTTTTTACTTACACATGATACAGCTATTGAACTATAATTGTACAATGTTGCAAAAGAATATTAGTAAGAAAATATTAAAAAATGTGAATTAAATTCTGCAGCTATCATTATCAAACCAAGCAAGACTGAGAGAAAGAAGACCACACATGCCACACCAGACGGGGGACAAGAGTATAGCTGCAAATACACTGCAGGATCAACATCTTTATCCAGGCATAAGAAGGTTAGAAAACTTTAAGTTAGCTTTTGATTTGATCAATTCTAGAAGTTCATTTCTATAAATTGATCAAATCAAAAGCTAACTTAAGAAAACTTTTTCTTCTTTGCAGCAAACAAAAGTATCCATTCAACATGACTGCAACAAAAACTATTTTTAGTACTAGTTTCATAATTATTTCAATTCTTTTTCAGCAAAGCATCAGAATCAGGACTGACCAGTGCTGCAGCCAGAACTGGTAAAGATAAAGGCCATACTGACAGGTGAGATAACATATAATTTATATTCAGAAATATGTTGCCCATAACCTTTCTGAGACACAACTTCTCTTTACATGATTGCGTAATTTGTACATTGGCTGAATGGATGACAAAACAAAAACATTGGACAGGATAGTGAATGAGTGAGATCTGTAATTGAATCAGGAAATTCATATGTTCTTTACAGTCACATTCACTCCACAACTCAGTATCATACCTTGCATTTCTTAGTAAGTACAAGGACCACCTAAAGGAAGGAGACTCCTCCCTTGCCAGAGCAGACCTGGACTCAGCAGAGCAGCACTTTGCAGCTGCACTCAAGATGGTACATGTGAGAGGTACAGGCCCAACACTACTTTTCTTTAGATTTTACATCAAGATAACTACACAGCCTGATAACAATAGCTGGAACAGTAAGGCCTAGGAAAAAAAGTTTAGTTTCCTGTCTTCCTGTTTAGTAGAAAGAACTGATGACCCCAGCCTTTTTCTTTTGTGTAGACCTAACTGACAAATGAACTTGAAATACGTTTTAAATCTTTTTAAACCTTTAAGTTAGTTAAAAGAATAATTCTATCACCAAGATAAATACACTTGTAATTCCTAATAATAATATGTATTCATGATCAACACCTTCAAATTCAGATGAGCCGACAGCCCAGCAGTTCCAGAGAGAGGTGGAGCCCCTGTGCAAGTTGGGGGATGTCTACAGTAAGCGAGGTCAGCAGACAGGAGACGGGGGAGACTTTGTCAAAGCAGCAGCACTCTACAATGCAGCAATAGCCAGGTCAGAGGATCAAGTCCTCAATGGTAACATAGTAACAGCTATTAGAGAAGTAGAGATGTCATTCCTCAAATGTGCCTTAGGCATTGATAGAAATGTTAACCGAGATGACACAGACAAACACAAGAAACAGCTGAAGGAGATGCGGGACCAGATCAAGCTGGAGATGGAAACCATTGACCAGCAGCTGGATCCCTATGTACATGATGAGGATGACCCATGTGTCAGAGAGATAGAGGCAAAACGAGCTCAGGCTGTCAGGCAGTTGTTTGAGAAAATTGCACAACAAAGGAAGGAGTTCATCAGCCTGCTTGTAGAAGAGTGTATTGGGTTAATGAGTCCCCCTCCCTGTAAGTATGCCCTGATAGGTTTGGGTTCACAGGCCACAGGACTGGTAACTCCATACTCAGACCTGGAGTTTGCCATCTTGGAAGAGAAAGAAAGTGAAGAATGTCTTGTGTATTTCCGTAACCTCACCCACTATCTACACCTCAAGGTGGTCAACCTGGGAGAAACCATTCTCCCAGCACTGGGAATAAAATCTCTCAATGACTTCTACTCTGAGAATCCACTTGATGACTGGTACTATGACTCTGTTACACCACGTGGGTTTGCATTTGATGGTTCCATGCCAAAGGCAAGTAAGACTCCACTGGGCAGGCAGGGAACTAAGAATGAACCACCCAGTGAACTCATCTGCACCCCAGAGAACATGGTCTCAATACTTCAAACTGATGTCACACTGTATCTGAAGGAAGGATATCACCTTGCCACTATCTTGAGAAACCCATGCCTGATAGCAGGGGACCAGGATTTGATTGACACATACATGGCCATCACAGTGGAGATACTGCAAGCTGATGGGGGTAAAATGGCTCAACAACTGGCACAGGAGACACTGAGGGAAAACAATGACATCTACAAAGATCTACAAAGATCCCTCACAGCAAGGTTGATTGATGTGAAGAAAGATCTCTATCGCTTCCCAGCTGTAGCAGTGGACTGCTTGGCACTGTCTTCAGGCATCATACCTACCACAGTTTGGGAGACAATAGAAGAAATGGAAAACCAACAAGTGATCAGTTCCAACAATGCACATCACCTGACAGTGATTGCCAGCATCTCAGCAGAACTCAGGCTCAGAACATACATCGCAAATGGTGGACAGAAGGAAAACCTGTCAGCTTTGGCCTCCATTGAAACAGCCCAGCATGGACAGGAACCATACCTACAGACCAATGATGAAATACAAACAAACACACTGAAACAGATTTTTTATCTACCAAATGAAAAGCAGCTTTTCAGATACTATTACACAGCACTCTATCTTAGATATCTTTTTTCAATATGGTCTGAACAAAACATAATTCCACATTCATCCGATGATTTCTATGCAACTTTACCGACAATTGCAATAAGAGAAACAATGTACACTGTACTGTGCAAATATAGCCAGGCTGTCTGCTGCTACCAGGAAGCTTTGAGGGAAGCTAAAGGAAATGATGCTGATAAAAGTGTGCTGCTCAACAGGCTTGGTGTTGCTTTGAGAAGTATGGGTGATTATCAGGGGGCAGTCAGCTATCTTGAAGAGGCACTGTCATTGGCACGTTCCTCTGGTCAAGGTATCACAAATTCAGATACAAATCCTAGTATCGCCATGTCACTACTCAACTTGGGAGGAGTCTATCCCCATCTGGGTGAATACAGAGAAGCCATCAGCTACCTTCAAGAAGCACTACAGATGTACAGGGATATCTATGGTCAAAATACAGCACATCCCTACATTGCTGCCTCACTCAACATGCTGGGGTCAGCCTGGGATGACCTGGGGGATTACAGAAAAGCAATCAACTACCGTGAACAGGCACTGCAGATGTACAGGAGCTCAAGTATCCATGGTAAGAATACAGCACACTGTGATGTTGCAAGCTTACTCAACAATGTAGGAAAGTCATGGATAGAATTGGGTGATTTTGAAAATGCAAGAAACTACCCTGAACAGGCACTAAAGATGGACAGAAGTATGTATGGTCACAATACAGCACATCCTGGCATTGCTGTCTCACTCAGAAACCTGGGGTCAGTCTGGTACCACCTGGGTGATTACAGAAAAGGAATCAGCTACCATGAACAGGCACTGCAGATGTACAGGAGTATCTATGGTCAGACTAAAGCACATTGTGACACTGCTGCCTTACTCAACAACCTGGGGGGAGCCTGGCATCACCTGGGTGATCACAGAAAAGCAATCAGCTACCATGAACAGGCACTGCAGGTGCACAGGAGTATCTATGGTCAGACTAAAGCACATCCTGACATTGCCACCTCACTCAACAACCTGGGGTCAGCCTGGCACCACCTGGGTGATTACAGAAAAGCAATCAGCTACGGTGAACAGGCACTGCAGATGTACAGAAGTATCTATGGTCAGACTAAAGCACATCCTGACATTGCCATGTCACTCAGAAACCTGGGGGTGGCCTGGCACCGCCTGGGTGATCACAGTAAAGCCCTCAGTCTCTGCCAAGAAGCCTTGGTTATGGCAAGGCAGGTTTTCCCTCAGAACAGAAGCCATCCACTGATAAAAGACATTGAACAGGGTCTGGCAATAATCAATGCAGAGATCAGAAAATAGCATATAATCTTTGGGCCTTGTTTTACATGTACATGTAGGTAGTAGTCTTTCAAATAATAGCTGGCATATTACAATATTTTCACAGTAACCAAATGTATGGATCTCAATCTGATAACTGCAAAACAAAATGCATCAAGTTTACCATTACACAATCTAGCCCAACAAACCACATGCTGCTCTGTTAATTGTTACTCAAAAACATTCATATACAGGTGGTATATGATGCCAGTGCCCCTCCAATTCTGTCCTACCACTTAAAACGCAATGTAACCCAACACCACAGGGTGTCTGCTATGTACACCACCAGTTACCATGGTGACAGCTGTCTGCTCCAGGTCATTGACCTTATTTGTTCAAGAAGAAGAGGAAGAAGAAACAGAGTAAAAACAATATGTTTTCCTTAGAACAAACTAAAGGGAAACATAAAAATGTGAACGGGCATCCAATGCAATTTCAGGGTGGCAAAAAGTTTTTAAAACTGGAGAAACAAGCCCAAAGATGAGTCCTTTATTTTCTGGGTGGTACCCTAAAAATCAGCCCAGGGTCCTTCCAGTAACTGTTTTTCTTCAGAACTTTTGGCATCTTTGCTCAATGAGTGTCAATATACATTGGGACAGTATGTAGATAAGTGACTAGAATATTGACTTTGAAAAATCTGGTTTCCAAGCCCTAAAAACTGCTGAGACAACAACTATTAAAGACTTACTGGCTGCCTCTATGAACTTTGGGTAGACGTCGAAGGTGATGAGTGGAATGGGTAACATGCGGAAGTAGAGCTTCAGCGCGCCCGCTATCGTGTTGATGTCTTCGTATGTAGACTCTGAAATGTCAGCCTGAGCTCCATCTGAGAAAACAGAAAAATGGATTGTTTGTTATGAACAAAGGGAACAGCTGCAATTTCAACCTGACCTGCTAGATGTCCCCACTGACAAACAGTTGCAGTTCCAATCCACAGTATTATACATGTATGTCCCCACAGACATTTGTATTAGACTCCAAGATTTAAGTTTTGCTGTAACAAAAAAGCAAATACATTATCTACAGTAACTACAAATATAACCGTTACTGTGAAACAGTTGCAGTTCAACAGAAGTTGCTAGATGCTAAATACAATTTTTCTATGTAGGACTGTTTTTCAAAGGTTTGTACTTGGATTGAGAAGCCATGTTTCAAAAGTATTTGTGATAAAATAAATAGTATCTCACTATTACCTTTGTCAAATGACAGTTTGACTTCTTCTATGTCATCATTAAAGCCAGAAACTCTGTAAAGTCCTTCAGACAACAAACCTGGAATGTAAACACAGAGAGTTAGAGAAGACTTGTTTATCAGTGTTGTACATGTACATAATGGAATAAAATTGTAAATTACTAAGTTGCAGTTTTATTTCATACACTAGGTGTCCTCACTGATACATCATATCACTTAAAACTTTATCCTCAGAACAATGGTACACATCTTTCATTAAGATACACTGTTTAACAAATCCCAAATCATGCTCAATCACAACTTTTTCTTTTCCTGATTTCTTCACATTTTATAAGTCACATACATCTTCAATTTCAACGATACATTTTCTCTCCTTCATAGATTTTTAAAGGACTTTTCTTGTCCCTTCGTCCTTCCATCACTCAGATTCTAACATCTTTAGTTACCATCTTTTCTTCTCTTAATCTCCTGGAAACAGTTGTCCATGGCCGGTATATCATTTTTCTTCTCTTAATTCATAGATTTTTACAAACATATTTATCCCTTTCTCCTTCTCTCACTTTCTAAAATCTTTAAGTTACCGTCTTTTCTTCTCTCGATCTCCTGGACACAGTTGTCGACGACGACAGGCCGGGTTGTGTTGTGTGCCTTGACGATTGTCGTCAGGTCAATGCCATAAACCTTCTTGATGTACTTCATGTGAGGTTGGCAGTCATTCGGCACAACCTTCGAACACTGCTTATGCGTGGCCAGGCCACAATCTGGGGAAACAAACAATGTATTTCAGGCTTATTGTATCCAGAACATCAAAAACCATGGCAGGCAGGGTTCTGGATAGTCCACACATATCCAGAACCGTGCCTTGGGCAAATCTATGACATTGTGGATATGTGTGGACTATCCAGAACCGTGCCTGATCCTAACCCTAACCCATTCAGGCATAGAACTAGACAGGCATGGTTCTGGGTACAACAGACTGATGCCGTAAAACTTCTTAATGTACTTCATGTGAGGTTGGCAGTCATTCGGCACAACCTTTGAACACTGCTTATGCATGGCCAGGCCACAATCTGGAGGGGGGGGGGCAGAGATGTGTGGTTTTATCATGCGGTACATGTATATGTGCAAGCATGTCTAAACCTTGGAAGACGGGGAGGAACAGACATTAAACTGGATAGTGAGTGAGTGTAGAAGAGAAGTTTTTCATGGTGTTTTAACTCATGTAGTACAGTATAGTTGTTATTTTGTACTAACAGACTTATTAGTGCACAAGTCTATACCTTGAATGAACAGATTAAAGTTTTACTCCCAGCCCTCTTTTTTCATGTCCACTTGCTGAAATTTCACATAAAATGTCTGAGAACCAAGGAATTATATTGCTGTGGTCTAAGAAAGAGAAGAGCATTACTGTTCTCACCTGCACATTTGACCCCCTGAGCCACCAGTCCCCACATGAAGTTAGCACAGTACTCGCACCAGTGGGGGCCTCGGAACGTGTTCACCTGGAGGGGGGGGGTGGGGTGGAAGAAAAGTCTGCTGATAACAACTGGCTACACACATAGCTGAAAATGGCTGGTGTAGGCTCATGCAAGTCAGTGTCTTACAGTTAGAGCATGTCTGACACAACAGTTGTATGTACTCAGGACCTCTCTAAAAGCAGTGAACAGTCAAAACAGGTCTGTCCTTGGTACTGACTCATTGCACATTAGCCATCCACTGCACTAAATAAATACCTTTTGTATTTCTGTTGTTACACATGTGTGCCATCTTTGTTAGCCTAGCTTTTTATGTCTTCCATGCCTGTGCTTGGTGCTGAATTCTATGTTAATGCTGTTGTTCATTTAGCCATCCACTGTACTAAATGACAAACTAAAGTATTTCTGTTGTAACAAATGTGTGGCATCTGCAGTACTAAATGTTACCTAGCTTTTTATATCTCCCATACCTGTCCTTGGTGCTGAATTCTATGTTAATACTATTGTTTGTTAACCATCCACTGTACTGAATGACAAACCTCTGTATTTCTGTTGTTATACATGTGTGACATCCATAGTAAATGTTACCCTTGCTTCTCTATGTCTTCCATGTCTGTCCTTGGTGCTGAATTCTATGTTTAACTTAGTGTCATTGTACATTAGCCACACTAAATACCTTCTGTATTTCTGCTGTTACACATGTGTGACATCCACAGTAAGAAATGTTTCCATAGCTTTTCTATGTCTTCCATGTCTGTCCTTGGTGCTGAATTCTATGTTAGGTTGTTGTTCATTAGCTATCCACTGTATTGAATGACAAACCTCTGTATTTCTGTTGTTTCATATGTGTGCCATCCATAGTAAACATTACCCTTGATTTTCTATTTCTCCCATACCTGTCCTCGGTGCTGAATTCTATGTTAATACTGTTGTGCAATAGCTATCCATTGATCTAAATGTCCCTTTTGTGTTTCTGCTGTTTATAGAATACCCATGTGTTTAATCCACAGTACTAAATGTTACCCTAGTCTGTCCTTGGTGCTGAATTCAATGTAAATACTATTGTACATTAGCTATTCACTGCACTGAATATCACATGTTTAGCATGTTTAGGACTATCTGTAATACTAGTGTGCTTGTGTCAAAACAAGCTTCATCTACCGTAGTACTGAATGTATGTCTGAGGAACAAATATGTGTTTCCTTTCTGTGAAGCACAAAATGAGCTGACTTCCACAACAGGAGTCATCTGGACAGTATTAAATATTTACACCCAATTATTGCTTCGACAGCTGTTTATTACATAGGGTGGCATTAATAATAGAAAAGAGTTCTGTTAAGGAAAAGCAGTGTACCTTGAAGTTATGAGACTTTTCGTAACCTTTTCTATGTCTTCAATGCCTGTCCTTGGTGCTGAATTCTATGTTAACACTTTTGTGCATTAGCTTTCTACTGAACTGAACATCCTTTTGTGTTTCTGCTGTTGTTACCCATACATGCCATCTGTAGTACTAAATGTTACCCTAGTTTTTCTATGTCTTCCATACCTGTCTTTGGTACATTAATAATAGAAATAAGCTTTGTTAAGGAAAAGCAGCCTACCTTGAAGTTATGAGGCTTTTCGTAAGACGATGCTTCGATGCTGGCCCGTTTGCTTGGTGAGAGAGCTAGGTCCAGCTGTTATGTACAGGAAGGAAAGAGTAGTGTTAATCTGCACTCTACAAGAAAGCACACTGGTCTAGCTACTAGCATGTGTAGTCCAGTGGTTAGTGCATCTGGATCAAGAGGTCGTGAGTTCGAATCCCGATTCTACAAAAAAGCACACTGGTCTAGCTAGTTGCTTGTGTAGTCCAGTGGTTAGTGCCTCTGGACCAAGAGGTCGTGAGTTCGGATCCCGGCTCTACAAAAAAAAAAGCACACTTCTTTAGCTAGGTGCTTGTATAGTCCAAATCCCAATCCAAATGTTCGAATCCCATCTGTTGTCACTCAACAGACATGCACGCTACTGGAAAAGGTGTCAGTCTTTGGGACAGGATCATGTTAAACTAAACAGTGGTCCACTTTTCATTGTACTAGAGGAAATTCCCAACACAATGAACCTGTAAATATTGTACATAGCATCTGTCTTCTCTCCCACAACCTAAGGAAAAGAAGTTAAACTCTTCTAAATTATTGATTTTATTGAGCTACATTGTATACCAGTTCAATCTCACTTTACCTCTCATTCCATAAAAGTGTTACAATAATATTGGCTATTATTGTACACGTAGGTCTTGATTTTCCACAACCTCTGATTCCTAGATCAATCAATCAATCAATCAATCAATCAAAATGGTTTATTAATAAAAGACATTGCAGCCAAACAGGCTGAATTGTGCCTTCTGTACATACATATTGTGAAGGATACATTAAAAAAATTATTAGATATACCAATTGAGCATCGTTTCTTCAAATCCAAGAGCCAAGCAATTGAACTGGAGCAGCCCTACATACCCAGTACACGGGCCGGTGCTTTTATTCTGATAACTTTCTATTCGAATAGGCCATGGCCTTGTAAAAGGGAAGCCACACCGGAAGTACAATACCCCGCAGACCTGAACACCAATACCGGCCGACACTCCATTTAGGGAACGGGAATTAAAATCAATGGATTCTGAAATGAAAACTGGCTTCTGACTTTGTTCACTCTCTAAAACTGTGTGTACCAAGGTACAGACTTTCCCTTCACACTGTTTCCATGTAATAATGTAGTTCTCCAATCTAGCACTATTACCGGAAGCCTTATATTACAGGAAGCACAATACCCCACAGACCCTTACACCAATACTGGCATAGGAAAAAAAATTGTGTTTCCTGTTTCCTTACCGACTCTAGAAAAGCTTCTGACCCTAGCCTTTTTTTGTGTGGACTACTGAAAGGGACATAAATATGTCAAACTGATAACCCTTTCTAGCTCCATGACCTGACACCTGAGTGATAAAATGTTGCACAAACGGTTTTCCAACATTGACATTTAAAATATTATTGTCCTCATGCAAGTTTTACTTTGTTAAACAGGATTGTATGTAACGTTGTATCACTAGAGATGTGCAAAATCTACAACAAAATTATAAATAAACATGAAAACAAAAACCCTTCCTACGGACCCAACTTTTTTCAGGACTGAAACAGGAAACACAACATTTTTTTTTCCTTGGCCTTAACACCAATACTGGCAGACAGTTCATTTACGGAGCGGGAATTAAAATCAATGGAGGATTCCTGAGTCTGACCTTCTGATTAATGAAGTCTGAACTGGGGGAACCTGGAATAAAAGCCAATAACAGAGACGTACGTGTAGGTGTAAGAAACAGATGGTAGAACTCCTGTGGCGCAACGGCAGCATGCGCGATTCGGAATCAAGAGGTCCCGGGTTTGAGTCCTGACATGCCACCGATCTTGTGCCCTTGGGAAATGGACCTTTACACGACTTTCTCCACTAGACTCAAGTGAAAATGAGTATTGTCTGTCCTATATTTGTTTCTATGTGCGGGACATAACACCAACAACAGCTGCCTCTGTTCCGCGTGTATTGCACTGTTGCAATTTCAATAAATCAAATCAACACACGTACATCCTTCTACAGTGTAAAACTATTTCTATATTTCTATACCTTCTGTCTCTTGTGTACAATGTATGTGTACAATTATGTCATTGGCTTTTATTCCAGGTTCAAGTCATTGACCTTATTTGTTTGGAGAAGAAGAGGAAGAGGAGGAAGATACTGAGCAAAAACAATATTACTAGAAAAGTAACATTTGCAAAGCAAATGCATAACGTTTACCTTCGGACATGGTTTGCTCTGTTAATTTTTACTCATTGACAAACACATTCACATACATGTACTACTAGCATATGGTGACAGGAGCAGAGCAGACCATGAAGTTTGCAACATTATGTAACCCAACACCAGTCACCATGGTGACCGACGTCAAAAAATCATGTCATTGGCCAGGTCAGAGGTTAGTGTTTGGAACAGAAGAGGAGGAAGAAACTGAGTAAAAACAATATGTAAACATAAAAACATTAAAATCTTACCGAAGAGTTGTCCGAACTTTGTGACGTCGAGGAAGAAATGGAAGAGAAGTTGTCCACCTCATCGATGGTCGCCGTAGTTACCGTTCTGGAGAACGTTGTCACGACGCGGGACGTCCGTTTCCGTAGCGATAGGTAGCCGCAGGGTTCGTAAATCGGCTCGCCGGTCATCCGCTTGATGTATTCTTCCGCCTTGGCTTCGATGTACATGGTGATGAGGCCGTCAGCGACAAGGTTCTGTATCGTGTCAAAACGCTTGTCCGCGACGAAATGTTTGCCGTCGTAATACAGCCGGAAATTCTTGGTGGTCCCTCCAAACCTAAACAATTGGAGAAAATAAAATTCAATCAGTCTTATTAAACATAATTATAAATTATTATAAATATAAAGTTTTTTTTTGTTTTTTGCTGATCTCTAGACAAGGTTCTGTATCGTGTCAAAACGCTTGTTTGTGTCGAAGTGTTTGCTGTCGTAATACAGCCGGAAATTCTTGGTGGTCCCTCCAAATCTATGAAGACATACATGTAGAGTTTCAGTTTAAATACAGTAACTATAAATCAGGTTCTGTATCGTGAAGACCACTTGCTCGCGACGAAGTTAATGTTTGCCGTTGTAATATAGCCAGAAATTCTTGGTGATCCCTCCATACCTGAACATGTGAAGTGAAGACATTTCAATGACTTCTACATTTTCTATACCACACTTCACAACTTATTTAATACACTATCAAAAATTATCATCATCAATTTACTTGAATGTTTACTCCGAGCTAGTTTATAGAGAGGTAGTTCTGTCTATGAGAGTTAATGTATTCTAGATGATTTTGGATTAATATGGGACACATGCCTGCGGTGAATCAACAAAGAAAAAGAAAACCTGATACTGTGATAGCCAGTGTATATGTGTAGCTACCATGAATTTTTATGTATTGTACAATCGAAATTCATGATCTGTAAGTTCTGGTCACAAGCATGAGGTAAATATTAATAAAAAAACAAATATTAAACATTAGCAAAGTACCTGATAGCCAATGTGTTTTTCAGTATTCTACATGATCTGTATGGATATGGGTCACAAGCATAAAGTAAATAAATAAAAAAAACAAATAAACAAACTACCTGATGGCCAGTTTGTAGCTACCATGTACTAGGTACTTCTGTCTTAATTTCTGAATTTTTATGTATTCTACATGATCTGTATGGATATGGGTCACAAGCATGAAGTAGATAAATAAACAAACAAACAAACAAACAAAGTACCTGATAGCCAGTGTGTAGCTGCCAGGCTGCCGCTGACTTTCCCTTATAAGGTAACTCCCCTCCACATCGCCTAGCAACGCATCCGTCTCCTCACGGGAGATCATCCCGTGGAACCTGTAAACAAACAAACAAATAAACAACCTGTCAACAAACAAATAAATAAGCTGTTATACATGAACAAACCTGTTATACACGAAACATACATACATGTACACACACACGCAATCAGAATTAATACACATACAGACACACACACAAACACAGACACACACATGTACATATACACAGACAAATACAAACAGACACACACACATGTGCACACACACACACACACACACACACACACACACACACACACACATGTGCACAAACACACACACACACATGTGCATACACACATTTACACACAAACACACACGCTGACAATACACACACGCTGAGTTTTTAAGCCCAAAGCAGTCACAAAATTCCAAGACAACTTACTCTCTTCCATAGTATTTTGGTTTGTTTCCAACCTGTAAAAAACATACAAAAAGAATTAGTAACGAAATTATGATATACGAGATTTTAGAGATATGTCTCAAACCATATAAGACGATATGCAATACACAATTCATATCACTCCAACCTAGAACTATAATGTACAACTCACTGACTTAACTTATTAATAAATGTGTACATCCGTTTTTTTAATCTAATTTTTTCTCAGTATTATCTTGTCAAGCCATTTTACAGTAATCTATTTATATGTCTGGCTTATAAAAGGTCTCCAGATGCCAACAAATCCATTAGGAGTGAGGCAATTTCTGAGTGTTTGGATTTCGTCCAAGAAGCCTTTTTGTGTGTCTCAAACGATTCAACTTCAGCCGGTCTGTCCAGATCTATCCACGTACACGTCTGCCTGAATTTATGTTTTCCTTCTGAAAACTTAATTTGGAAAACATTTGGTAATGTTGAGATAGTTTTACAGATTGTCGATTGGGTAGAAAGGTAAAGGTAAAGGTAGTCCCATCATAGCCTTTTTGAGGCCATAGCGGTAATGTGTCTAGAGCAACAGACACAAGACCAGGTTTCAAAGAAGCCACGTGACAAGCCTCACTGGGTCAGTCTACTGAGGAAGAGTCGACTGTGACTGGTCGAAAGCTCTTGGTGAGAGAATTTTTTTGTTGGACCAAAAGTTTTGACTTTAAACAAAGACCTGGTCCAGGTTTGATTGTTTGCATTCCCAGCTAGACATTGTATCCTCAGCAAGTTCAACTTTACTCGACTTTCCTAACTCCACCCAGGTGTAAAACGGGTAAATGACTTCGGTTGGGGAGTTAAAACTACTAAAAGGCAGTGAAAGGAGAGGGATGGACTCTGCATTCCTGTACCATGCCCTAGACACAGTGGACTAACGCCTGCTGTACCTGCCTCAAGAAAGCTACATGTATGGGACTACCGTTACCTTCTACATTAGTATTTCCTTAAAAACAAAGATTCTAAAGTAATTATAAGGTAATATATGAAAACAAACCTCCATGGTACAGACTATCCTCCTAGGCTGGGGGGCCTGCTGTTGGAGCTGGTACACTGCAACAAACAGACAAAAAATCCTTGACTATATTTTGTGTTTACAATATTTTCACTTTTTAAAGCTGTGTGTAGAGACTTTGTTTCCACAAATACATGTATTAAGTTGATGAACTTCATAAAAGAAGGTCGTTAAAATATCAAAACATGAATCTTATGGTTCTAAATTGTGAATAGTAAATAATAGGCTGGACAGCCCATTTTTAAACTGACAAAATATGTTTAAGTATTGAATTGTGGAGATACATTGTTGTACTAAGGGAAGCTTATGTATTATGTTACTTTAAGTATTGCATTGTAAAAATATGTTCAAGTATTGCATTGTAGACATACCGGTATATTGTAAGTGGGCAGGGAAGTTTAATATGTACAATATGCACACGGTACATTAACTGTTGCAATCACTACCTAAAATGATCATAAACGATCAGTAACCCCTGGGGAAACTCAGATCAACGAAGAGGAATCTCTGCTAGTTTTATGTTCCAGATTCACATCAGTTTCAGAGGAACGTCTTAACGCATGTCTGAATCCACCACAAGGGAGTGCTTTAGTCCCTCCCACAGGTACATCTTCTGTAATCCTTAAACACATCACACTTTGGGTGCAGCTTACCAGACCAGTACTAACATCTGTGTCCATAATATCACCAGGGTCCATAATATCGCCACCTTGAGAAACAGTGTGCTTAAAGATATTTTTACTGCAACATACCCTAGGTATATAGATTTGAGGTGTGCAGGAGTGCATACCAAAAGTATGTTGCAGTAAAAATATCTTTAAGCACACTGTTTCTCAAGGTGGCGATATTATGGACCCTGGTGATATTATGGACACAGATGTCATGTAAGTAGGACTTGTAGAAGTTTACTACACATATGGGATAAATAAATCACTCAGACTATAAATCTACAGTAATCTCACCACTCGCTACTGTGTAGGAGGTTACTACACATATGGGTCACCAGCACGTCGGCAGAACATACTGCGCCTGCGCAGAACCCTGTATTTTCGGGTTTTTCGTTGGGTTTTTGGTCAACGTTGCATCAGAATTTTGCCTGTTGCAGAGGATATTCTTTCCGACATAACATTTGGAAACTACTGTCGAAATGCTAACCTCATATGAGCAAATACAACCTTATATGAGACATTCTGCCGAAATGCTATGTACAATACATTACGGGTTTCGCGCAGGTGCAGTACGTTCTGCCGACGTGCTTGGGTCCCCCAGACTAAAATCTACAGTTACTGTAATCTCACAAACACATCATACCTCAGGGTAAAACTTCCCACTCACAACTCTGTGGCTGTACGAGTTTACTACTGTTACTGTACATATGGGGGACATAAGTAACTCAGAATCTACAGTAATCTCACCACTCACTACTGTGTAGGAGGTTACTACACACATGGGTTGCCAAGACTAAAATCTACAGTTTAACTGTAATCTCTCACAAGCACATTACACCTCAGGGTACTGAACTTCACACTCACAACTCTGTGGCTGTACGAGTTTACGACTGTACATGTACATGTACAAAATGTACACATGGGGGACATCCATAACTCAGAATCTACAGTAATCTTTAGTTTAAGATTCAAGATTCAAGATATCTTTATTAAGCTATCGCAGTGAGAATATCACTGAATTGCAGTCAATTTACAGACAATTTGTTTTAAAAACGCTCACAAAGACAAGTAATATTGCACATAATTCTGAATCCTTAGGTTAAGAATACTTTGCAGGGAACTATATTACTGCTCGTAAGACTAAGATCTTTAGTTACAGCATATTAAAAACGTTCAAAAATTTTAGAGCACATTACCCCTAAGAGTAGAACTTACATTGTACATACACATAGTCATGATCAGTTACTACTCTGAAGGAGTTTATTACACATATGGGTGATAAAAATCACTGAGACAAGTCATAAGCGATGTGAAGTGATAAAATGATCATTGTCTTGAGCACTTCAATTTCTCCCACTGGCTATGGATGGGTAGAAATCACAGAGTTTTTTAACGTTATCTTTCATATAAAATGATTTTATAGTCTAAGATTGAAGTGATTATCGTATCCAGAACCATGCCTATTTACATGTACTTCAATGCCTGAATGCAAATAAATAAATGTATTGCAAGACATCAGTCATAAAACACACCAGCACAACAGCAACTTACCATAATCTTATCTTAAAAGTCATTATTTTCACATAAAAACAAATCACCCAAAACATTCAGGATAAAGACTTTTACAGTCTGCACTAGTTTTATCCTTCCTGTGATCAGCTATGAATCCTCTAATCTCCAAGCAGATCCTATAATACAAGACAGTAAAAAAAGACAGTATCAAATTGGCCAGGATCCAATTGGCCAGAGAGGGTCCATACGCCACCCAAGGCAAAAATCGTGGGTTCAAAAGCAGTAAAATTTAGCCAAATGGGTTGAACCAACCTTCCCGTGGACTGACTCTCCTGGCTAATTATTCCTTATTTTTTTAACCAAATTTTACAGTCCGTACCCTGATCTCTGGCGAATGGATACTGCCTGGCCAATTTGATGCTGCCTTTTGCCACCCTAGGATCTGCTTGGAGGTTAGGAATCCGCCCACTTCATTCTGATGCTATCTTTACGACGTCAGGATGAGCCTGTTAAGTTTCAAACGACTCCCCAGATGGAACAGAACAGCCGTAAAATACAAGCCGTAAACGTCAGCAGGAGAAATATTACTGAAGTAATGCTTAATTTTGCTCAAGGACAAAATAATAAACAGCTGTTAAAACTATTTTCACCTGGAATTACATGTAGTATGTGTTTGGAATCAGCATATCAAATTAAGTTGATATCTGTAGCTATAGCCTCCTGAAGGCCTTTGTACAGAGGCACGGATGGTAGAATTCAGGAAAAAAGGAAGAGCTAGAAAGTTAAGGTAACGTTTGCAAAGCAAATGCAAAATGTTATCCAGAGCTTGAGTTCGCATATTGGTCTGATGTGTTAATTCTTTAACTCACTTACACATATTATTACTGTCTAGTATATGGTCAGACATGACTCTAAATCCCTCCTGCTATAAAATTGCCACATTATGTAATCCAACACTACATGTAGTTACCATTATAGTGACAGATGTCTGGTTCAGGTCATTGACCCTCTCTGGTGAGCCAACTCTCTGGCCAATTATAATTCTCTTTTTAGGCTGATTTCTACTAATTTATTCAGCCTGCAAAAGGAGTCTGGTGGAGACTAGCAAACCTCTACTAGGAGAATATTACAGGAAGTGGTTCACTTATGAAGCCCTCTCCTCGCTGACAGTCCCGGCGTTTGTGGCTATAGATTACCCAGAAATCACTAATACTTCATTCCTTTCAAAGAGAGATCACACTCAGTTAATCTCCAAGCAGATCTTTTGGTACCTAAAGGACAATATCGCTCATGCATTCGTTTGTTTGTTAATTTGTTGGAATTGGAAGGGAAGTAATAAATTGGCAGGGCAGCATCCAACAACCCACCACATTTGGCTGGCAAAAACAAAGAAATCCAGTCTAAAACACACAAAAAAATGAGCCAAATCCTATAAACCTCTGCTTGGAGAGGAACATATACAGGAAGTGGTTCACTTATGAAGCCCTCTCCTCGCTGACAGCCCCGGTGTTCATGGCAATTATAGATTTCATACCCAGGCAAAGATACCAGTACAAAACACCTAAAAAATAAGAGCTTACTACCATTTAAAATTTGTGATCATGAGATATCAAACATACAAAGGCTACAGAAAACAAAACCTTCTTGGCGAAGGTAATAAGCCAATGCCTATATCTATACAGGAAGTGGTTCACTTAAGAAGCCCTCTCCTTGCTGACAGTCCCGGCGTTTGCTTATTTTGCTCAACGCCAAAAGAATCAACAGACTGAGTTATTTTCACCTGGCATGGAAATGTATTACTATTAGGGGACAACGCATTATAAAGGTTGGTAATTTCAGTGAAAGTGTTACAAACAGGAAGCTAAAATTCAGCTTGTAGAAAGATCATTATTTTAATTCTGGATTTAATTCATACATACTTTCCTTTTAAAGAATCATCCCAGCCCCTTGAGTGAAAGTGCTGCCGGAAGTGGCTCACTTTCCCTTTCGTTATGAAGCCCTCTCCTCGCTGACAGTCCCGGCGTTCACGGCAATACATTACCCAGAAATCAATAGTTCCTAATTACGTGAAAGCGCCGGATGTCAGAAACGCACGACCTCCGACACGACCGAAGAGACGACAGACGGTCGCCAAATTACTTAAAACCCCAAAACCGATCCTGCCGGTGATATATCCTCCTGTCAGGAAATAAAAAAAGGCTCTATTCTCTTACTGAAATGTATCCATGGCTTTCTATTGCTAAAACATATTCATGTAAGAAGATAGTTTAAAGACTCAAGTCATTTTCAATTTGAATTTTGCATCAGATTCTGTAACAATTTCGCTCACTCCAGTAAATCATTAATTTCTACTTAAAACCCCACCAAACCGATCCTGCCGAAGATATATCCTCATGTCAGGAAGTAAAAACAGGCTCTATTCTATGTCAATAGATTTCTTATGGCATCTAAAGTCATGTACATCTATTCTATACACTCCCAAAATTTATACTCAATTTAAAACCTATAAATTTTGCATCTGGAACAATTTTTAGTCGATATTACGACACAAATAAGTCACAAATATGCTCCATTCTGTATTGTACAGTAAAGGTATTCACAGCTTTCTAGTATATATAAATGAGATACTTTTTACAATTAGTTGGGACTGAATAATGCATTTACTCTGTATTGAGACATGCATTCATAGCTTTCTGTGGTATTGAATTTCATTCCATGCTTCTTCTAGTACATGTATGTATTTTTTCTAGCTAAGAATGGACTGTCACAAATTCTCCATATGGACAAGCCATAGATTTCTGCAAGTTTTAAATTATATATTAGGAATTCACTCCATGGCCTAGTTAAATTTCTATCTA